AAGTATACTTTTCAAATGGCTGTTCCTTTGTAAACCAACTCTTCCAAAAAATCAAGCAACAAATTAGCTGCACTATCTATGAGAACATCCACGGAACCCTGCTTCATAATTTTCTTACTCTTCTTTCCTAAAGCCAAGCAGCTACTATCTGCCCCGTGTGGTGTCACCACAGAGCTGTATTTCTCAAGAACTACAGTCTCAGAGTTGTTTTGCAGAGCAACAATGAAAACAAGGGAAATTTGAAGCAGTCAAATAAGTTTGGGAAGTGATTCAAATCTCACCCCTCTTGCAAATTCACCATGACCCCGCTACACTAAGAATAAAGAAATAGGCTAAGTTTTGCATAACCCAGATTTTTCCAAACTTATTTCACCATAGAAACCCTTTTTGGGAGCAATACTTAATAAATAGTATAATGGCCCATACCTTGGGACTCAATACTGTAGAACTCATAGAAGAATACAATACATGATCCTTATTCTTGAGACATGTACAAGAGTCAAAGGTATAAGCCAGGCACACACTTATGAGGGAGGACTAAAAAAAATCTGAAATTATCTTTTGGAGGGCGGGTCCCTTGTGGTACAGGCTTTTCCTGCTAGCTAAGTCTTCTAGGAACTCATCGGCATCAGTATATCAGCTAGCATTGTTGTGAGAAGCTGCATTTGGCTTCGGTGAATTTTTTTTATGGCAAACAGGTGACTGGTTCCTCCACCATAACAATGCTTGTGCCCATACAATGCTGAGTGTTCAACAGTTTTTGACCAAAACTGGCATAACCTCCATGCTCCACCCTCCCCAGTCATCTGATCTCGTTCCGAGTGACTTTTCTTTGTTTCCCTGGATAAAAACGTTCTCAAAGGGGAACGCTTTGCTGATGTGAAAGAGGTGAAACAAAAAACAGCAGAAGCACTAAAAGCCATCAAAATAGTCAAGTTCAAAAACTGTTTTAAGCAGTGGAAAAAGTGTCTCATAGGTGTGTTGCATTAAACAGAGAGTACTTTGAAGGTGACTGAAGTTTAAACATGAAAAATGGATACACACACGAAGAATAAATACTCCCAGCCACTGCAGCCTCGACCTGCTGGGCTCCGGTGATCCTTCCGCCTCAGCCTTCCGAGTAGCCGGAATTACAGGCACGTGCTACCACACCTGGCTAATTTTTTAATTTTATTGTAGAGATGAGGTCTCGTCTGCCCAGGCGGGTCTCGAACCCGTGGGCTCAGGCAATCCACTCACCTAAGGCTCCCAAAGGCGCGGGATTACAGGCTGAGCCACCGAGCCTGGCCACCTCTAATTAATTTTCACAAATTTTGAAACTCAGTCTCAAAAACTTGCTCCTGGTCCATTTTTCTAGAATGTTCAAAGGGCATTTATTTCATAAGTGCTGACTATCTGACTCTGTGCCAGGCCTGTCACTTTATATATGTTATCTCATTTAATTTTCACAATCATGGGAAATAAGTCTTATCTTCTTTTTTCAAAGAAATGGAATCAGAGTGATCACACAGCTAGTGGGAGAGCCTCGATTCTTATCCCGATCTGTCTGGCCTCAAAGCCTGTCTTGTTTCCGCTGTGCCGGGTTATGAAGATCCTTTGCAGGCTATTTCCCGAAGCTGGGGCTTGCGGGTGTGTGTGACTACATGTGTAGGCTGTGTGGTTCAGGCTTGGTGTGCCGGGGACAGCCATGGTGGGCTTGTTTCCCTAGAGTAGCCTGGACTTCCCATTCTCTTCCTCTCCTTCAGTCCAGAAGTTCTGCATTCTGACTTCAGAGGCCCAGTGGCCACTCCCTTCTCATCTCTTGAGGCCATGGCGATGAAGGCATTAATTGGGGGAGATTCTGCCAATGCTGAGTGCTTTATTTATTTTTTATTTTTTTGAGTTGGAGTCTTACTCGGTCGCCCAGACTGGAGCGCAGCCTCGACCTGCTGGGCTCTGGCGATCCTTCTGCCTCAGCCTTTGGAGTAGCTGGAACTACAGGCACACACTACCACACCCAGCTAATTTTGATTTATGGTAGAGATGAGGTCTCGCCAAGTTGCCCTGTGGGGTCTCAACCCGCAGACTCAGGCAATCTACCTACCTCAGCCTCCCAAAGGCGTGGGATTACAGGCTGAGCCACCGAGCCCGGCTGAGTGCTTTATTAATGGCATTGCCCCTAAGCACACTCCTGAGCTGGAGAGGACAGTAGGGGTTGGTGGGAAAATATGGACAGAAAGCTCTTCCTCGTGCTTTTCAGCAGGTCTTCCATGTTGTCCCTTTTTTTTTTTTGAGTCAGAGTCTCACTTTGTTACCCAGGCTGGAGTGCAGTAGCACCATCACAGCTCACTGTATCCTCGACCTCCTGAGCTCAGACGATCCTTCCGTCTCAGTCTCCTAAGTAGCTGGAACTACAGGTGCACACCGCCAAGCCTGGCTAATTTTTTTGTACAGACAAGGTCTTGCTGTGGTCTCAAACTCCTGGGCTCAAGCAGCCCTCTTGCCTTGGCCTCCCAAAGTGCTAGGATTACAGGCATGAGCCACCACACCCGGCCACAAATCCTTTTTATAGAGTCAAGCTGGATCCTTCCTTTCTGCTTTGTGCTCAGCTACCACTACCTCCTCTCTGTTCTCCATCTCTCCCTCCTCTGCCTTCCCAAGGAACTGACCTTGGAATGGACAGAAAAGATCCTGACTTGTGGAGAGGCTCACAAGGAAAAGGGTGAGAGGGCAGGAGGCAACCTGAGGTCCCAAATAGGAGGCGAGGCACAGCCAGGAGGGATGGAGGTGGGTGAATCTCCAGTTTCAGGTTAGCAACCCCCAGGGGTAAGCTGTAAATGGGGAGTAGAAGGTAGCTGAAGGAGGAGCCCACAGAATGGGATGATGGGAGTCAATGAGAGGTGCTGGCCTGGATGCCTGGGTTCGTGGGCAGGAAAACTCCCCTTGCAACTTCCACCCTTCTCTACATTTGCTTTTTCTCCTCCCTCCAAAATGAGGCTGTAAGTGTGTTTACATTGGCCTTCAAAGATGAATGGGCTGGGAAGTGGGGAGGAAAGGGAACTGACATTTATTAAGCACCTCAGTGTGCTGAGTCCTTGCAATTATTTCATCACTTCATCATAACTTTCACAAGAGGTGAGTGTGGCCATGGTAGAGTCAGAGGCAATGCCTGTACTTGAACCCAGGTTTAGCTGCTTCAACAGCCATGGGCTTTCTACCATACCCACAGTGCTACCATTATACATTGCCCCACCACAATGAGTAGAGCTGGATTTAGCGCTAGAGGAGGTTGAGTGTTGGCTGTGCTGCTCCCATCCTGGTTATGACAGGTCAGTGCACAGAGTTGCATCCTTCCCTGGGTAGCCCCTCCTCCCACAGGAAGGCTGGAAGCTGTAGCTTAGACACTAGACTCACAGGGCACTGAGTGCATCTGAGCCCACTGACTCTCTATCAACTTGGAAAACCAGAACAGGCAGGAGACCTGGGCATCTCCACCACAAACTCCAGCCACTGAATCAGAACTGCTCCTTAGAAGCCCGAGGCTGGACCTGCCCCTGAGCCCCTGGCTTCATCCCTTAAGCTCAGTACAGGGAATGGGGAGGGTCCTCTCCAGCCTCCTCTCCTCACCTTAACCCACAGCTTTCCAGTCCCTTCTCTCCAAATTAGCTCTCTAATGTAAAAAACTCTAGGTGTCCAAACCAGTCAGTGCTTTCAAAAGTGCACATTCAGCAAAGCACTGTGACAGCCCCCATTCCTTAGAGCTGAGTGGGTACTTGTGGGGGAGATATAGAACTCTGGCCCATGTTTCTTACTATAGGGTAGTCCTTCCTGACTGCTGGTTATACAGGGTCAAGATTTCCAAGTCAAAGCCCCTAGGATCCAGCCAACCTTTTGCTTCCACTAAAGTCTGAGAATCACTGCCTAGGCCTAGTCTCCTTGGCTTCTGAAGGCTCCCCTATTTCAAATAAAGGACTGTTGGTTGCCTAACTGATTGGATTAATCTCCATGACTCATTTGATTTCTCATTCTCTCTGAAGAATGATTTCCCCTTACTCTTGATTCTTCCTACAGTACTCTGGGTATGTCCTGTCCTCAGTCCCTTGAAATTTGTCTTGTATCTGTGTCTGTACATTCTGACATGCTGGGCCAGAAGCTTGCAGGCTGCTGGAAGCCCACCAGTGAGCACAGCATCTACCTCCCCTTCCCACGACACACACACACACACACACACACACACACACACTCAGTGCAGACTCAGTCACTGACCTTTAGTTATTGCTACAACCTTGAAACGGGTGCTAGGGGATTACAGTTTTGAAGTCTTTCCTGACATGCAACCAAAGGTTTGTCTTTTGCAATTAACACTGCAGACAAACACATAATGACCATCATGTTATGTGCACACAGTAGGCACTTTATCACACTCCATTTAAACCTATGGCAGTGGGTCACTTTAAAAAGAAAGCAACTGAGGCTTGTGACGGCAGTTCTGCACCCTCAAGCTGAACTTGAAGAGCCTGGATTCCAGCCTCAATCATCCCTTCAGAGGGAGTACTTTCAACCACCTTCCCCTACACTGTACTGTGCTCCCCCAGCGGTGAGGACTGAGGAGTCCTGGCAGAGTTAACGTGTTCATCCTTGGGAGAAAGGCACAGTGAGTATGCCCGCCGGCAGGAGGGGGGCTCTGGACCAGGCACCACATCCCTGAACCTCACTCTGTTCACGAAACAGTGTTGTACACCTGCCCAATACTTAACTCTTCAGAATATGCTTATCCCCATTACCTCACGTGTCACACTTTTTCGGGGCAGTCGTGGCAGCAGGTGCTAGAGAAAGTCTCCCAGCTTTAAGTCCACTGAAGCCCCCACACCAGCCTGGCCCCTACATGCTATTCCTGTCAAAGAGCTCTCTCCAAGGCCGCACCCTGTGTGGGTTTGGAGCTGACAGCAGAGGCTGGTACCCACGAGGCGGGTTATTCATACCCCACGCCGTGACTCCACACCCCCAGGACACACACTCACCATGAGATGCTGGAAGAGCCAAGAACGCATTATATTGGTGGCATGCTTGGGCAAGACTCCTCGTTTGTTCTTGGACTTCTTATCCTCATTGTCCAGGAGGGAGGTGAGGTCAAGGTTAACCTTCAGGGCACGTGGAGAGAAAATCAGCATCAGCAGCCTGTGAGGCTAGCGGCTAGGGACTTGTTGCCATAGAGACGGCAGGCTCTGGCTGCCAACCCTCTTCCCAACTATTCTTAGGGCCCTGGGGAGGTGGCCTTTCCCTCTCACCCCACACCAGCCCCTCAGAGAATGGAGGTGAGGCTTGGGTGAGGAAAGAAGGCAGTAAGGACAGGGAGGGGGAGGAGGGGAGGGGAGGGAGAGAGGAAACAGGCTATGCAGAGAGTATAGAATATATAAACTTGCCAAAAGCCATCTAGTAGTTATTAGCATTTCTATGGTACTTCACAGTTTGCAAAGCACTTTCCTATCCACTACCGTGCTTCAACCTCACAACAGCCCTATAGGTTGGCTGGGCTGTGTGCAGTTGGTAAGAATCCCCTTTTATTGATAAGAACTCTGAGGCCCAGAGAGGTTAGGTGACTTCTCCAAGATCACAGAGTTAATGTCAGATCTCATGCCTCTGACTTGGCTCTTTCTATTCTTCCTTTGTGTGTGCACTCTGTACCACTGAGGCACAGGGTGGCTCAGTCTGGAGACCAGGAATAGGAAGTGCAGGCTCCTTTGATGTAACCCCAGGAGGCAGCAAAATCCCAGGAGCTGATAAAACCTTTCCAAGGCCCAGCTTCTTATCTGTAAAGTAAGGGTAATGATTCCTCTCAGAGGAAGAATGAAGATTAAACGAGTTATCGTGTCAAGTGCCAAGCAGATAAGAAGCAATGAGTGCTCTACCCCACACCCATGCACGTGTGCACACACCCACACGCACACTCACCTGTGTGTTCTGGATCTGGATGGCTCCCTGGGGGATTGCTTGGGTGACCACCTGACCCTGGGAGGTTACCATGGTAACCGGTTGGTATAAGGCTCCACCTGAGGAGACAACCAGTTTTGGGGTCCCCTGCCATGAGAGTGGCTAGGCGTGAGGGCAAGCAGGGTTCCCAGTTTCCTTGGCAGTCACTTGTAAAGACCCTCTGTGCTGGAACTTTCTGGTATGGTTCTGGTTGGTCCACTTTAGGGGAGGAGTCAGTGGGTGGAGGATGATGCCCAGAACTGAGAGCAGAGCCTCTGATGAGAAGTGTTTGGGGGAAGGGACAATAGCCTTACTTGGCCTTTTGGGGGTGCATGAGAATTTGACCCACATTTGTTCCAAACCTTCACAACTGGGTCTTGGTGCTAACCATCTATGAACTTACAGGACATTTTCATTTAAAAAACTGAGCTAGGAGGCCCACCCTTGTTAGAGGATACCTCCCCACCCCTGGAACCTCCTCGGGGCCACCCGTTCTCCTCCCACGGTGTTCCCCACAATCCCCAGCCCATACCCTGCACCGACCTGACACGACTTGTGAGTTGACGGTTGTCATGGCGATGTTGCCCTGCTGGAGCGCTGAGGCTGGGACCACAATCCCCTGGGGGTTATTGGAGACTCCAGACATGGAATTGGGGGAATTCTGCAGGAGGTCCTGGCAGTGAGGGAGGCGTGGTTTGTGACAGTGTCACTGAGAGCTTAAATGCGACAGCCCCAAAGTCCTCCTCTTGCCTTTCCCCTTCCTGCCTTCCCTCCTCCCTCCTTCCTGCTCCTCCCCAGACCCAAATCCAGGAGGCAATTCACACAGCTTCCTAGAAAGAGTGAATAAGAAGGCTCAATATTAAAAGAAAAAAAAATCCCAAAGAACAAAAGTAGTCATCCATTTAACCATTCCATTCTCCTACAAACCTGAGACACAAGTTATCTTTGATAAACCAGTGGTCTCCTCTTTGACTACTCTTTGAAACCTCCAATAATGATGCCTGGATTCCAACCCCAAAGATTTATTTATTAATTTATTTATTGACAAGATTTTGCTTTGTCACCCAGGCTAGAGTGCAGTGGCACAGTCATAGCTCACTGCAGCCTCGACCTCCTGGATTCAAGCCTCTCAAGTAGCTAGAACCACAGGCACATGCCACCGTGCTCCACTAATTTAAATTTTTTTTTTTTTTTTGTAGAGATGGGGCCCTGCTATGTTGCCCAGGCTGGTGTCAAACTCCTGGCCTCAAAGTGATCCTCTCACCTCAGCTTCCCAAAGTGCTGAGATTATAGGCATGAGCCACTGTGCCTGGCCCCAACCCCAGAGATTCTAATTTAATTCGTCAGGGGTGCATCCTGGGCTCTGGATTTTAAGAAGTTCCTCAGGGGATTCTAACCAGGCTGAGAAATTGGCTTCACCTGGCTGGCACTATTCATCCTGCAGACTCACTTATCTCCAGATGCTTTCCCCTTCCCTCCCCACCCCTCCATGTCTCTTCCTCACATACCTCCGTGACAGCCTTGATTACACTATGCTCCACCCACAAAGCAGTCCCTAGTGTTTTACCTTTGTATCCATAGCACCTAGTTCAGGATACTAAAATATTTGTTAAAAAATATAAAGCCGCCATAGCCCTTGCATAGCCTGTCTTCTCAAGGTACCTCACACAAGCCTCAGCCCCAGCCACCTTCAGCACTTATTGAGTATCGCCTATAAATCAACTCTTTTCTCTTTCTCAGGCTCTCAGCACAGAGTTCCACTGGACACAGAATGTCCCTTGCCCCACATTGCCATCCAGCAGGTAGTCCTTGCTGTTAGTCTTTGCAGTAGCCAAGACAGCTAGGAAGACATTTTCTCCCCCTGGCTCTTTGCTCCCTTCACCATTCCCATTTAACAGCTGGGTGAAAAGTCCTTGCACTTGATGTTGAGGCCTCCAAGAAGGAGTAACAAGCCCACCCTGCTTTCTGGGGAGCCTGAGCTTGGTGGCTGGGTGCTCCGAGGGAGTTTGTGAGGAAGGAATGGGATGTATGGGATGTGTGTCAATGTCTCTAGGTTTGGAGACAAGCAAGAAAGGTCAGGTCAGGAATGAGATGTCGAGGAAGGAGCCTTAGGAGACCGGCCTGGGTCTTCTTAGCTCCTCCCAATCACGGTTCCTCATCTGCAAACGGGGCATGAACCAGTAGGCAGGTCCAACAGTCATTTAGGTGACATTCCTGTGCCCGAATGCTGGAATCATAGGGCATGAACTGCAAAGATTTGGAGACATAAATAGTCAAGAAAATAGATGAAACAGAGGAAAAAAGAAGGCCCCCAGCTTCCTAGCTTTTGTTTTTTAGGACTTGAAGGAACTTGGGTCTTCAACCTCCAGGGAAAGCCTATGGTTTAGAGCGAGGAGAGAAACCTGTGCTTGGAGGAAACCTTGAGCCAATGACTGCCTGCCTGTAGCAACAGACAAAGGAAAAGTGTCATAGCCCCAGGGGACAGCCATGATGAACTCTTCCCAGACCCTGGCACCATGGAAATTGGCAGAGCCTATCAGGAAGTGGAAGTCAGCACTGATTTATACATCGACTGGATTCAGCTGATTAAATCCCCCTTGGCTTCTCCTCCAGAGCTGCCTTTTTTACCCTCCCAGATTGTCTCTGGCCCAAGAGCTGGAGGAGTATCTCCTATAAATAAGCAGCACCAGGAGACGTGAAGCCAAGCTCTCCCGCCTCCCGCCCACCTGCCGCACTGGGCCTCTTGGGCTGGCTCCTCTGGAGGGGTGCGTCAGGAGGAGGCCTTGCGTCTATTCTTGGCTCATCTCCACTGCTGTGACCTTAGGGAAGGGAGGGGCAGCTCTTCCTGGGGCTCTGTGAGAACCTCCCAGCCAGTGAGCGTTAACCTTTAAGCAGACTCTTGGCCTTCCCGTTCATGCACTTGAAGTCTAAAGTTGGAGTCTGACATGCAGAAGCCTAGAAATTGGAAGAGCCCTCACAAGCCATGTATTTCAACTTCTCGAGGTACAAACAAGGCACTGCATTTTAGAGACCATGACTTGCCTATGGCCACACAGTCGGTTAGTAGCCACAGGATCAGCTCTCCCTAATCCACAAATACCCAACACATATGTTGTGTCAGGTTCTGGGCTGCAAAGTGCTCCTTGGATTATGGGGGTTCAAGCAATGGTCTTTGGAGGCAAGGCAAACAGATGAAAACAACCAGAAGTCCAGAAGCAGTGTGGATACCAGAAGAAAGATGATCAGTCTGGGAGTCAAGTCATGACCCTTCTGTGGGCGTTTGCTCCTTATTTATAAAATGCGTCTGGCCAGTGATGGCACCCAGGGGCCCTCAAAGCCTGAGTTTTCAGCGATGAGGCTGCTCCAAGATTGAGCTCCCTTCATTCCAACATCCCAGCCTGCCGTGTTCACAGGATGCTCCGATGCTATTGGAAGCTAAAGCAAACGTGGAAGGTAACTTTAGTGGAACAGTGGGTACCTCCATGCCATTCACCCTAAAGCCAGTAGAAGTGACTTTTCAGTAATCTCGTTTGGAACCATTCATGCTAAAGTAGTCCTTTTTTGCTAGGGGCATTTGAAGTTTCAAACATAAAAAGTTGTTCCAGATTTCTTCACCCCAAAGAAGTCCCCAGCAAGGTTAGGCAGATACAAGCAAAGTTAGGAAAATCAATACAAGATGTGTCCCTTGGGATTCAACCAAAACACCTTGTGAACAAACCAAAGGCAGAAGGGTGAATTACCACCTGGATGCTTCATCTGCTTACTCAGCTCTGGCTGGTTCTCTACCCTGTGGCTAGGGCATCCTCCATGCCAGCTTACCCTGTTTGGACAGCGAAAGGCAATCTGTATATTTGATCAGATCCTTCTCTTTCCTACCCTTCTCCCCCTTTTCTGGATATTTGGCTGGAAGGTGTTGAGAGGCAGCCAAGTTATATCAGCAAAGGAATGGAATAAAAAACTTCAGCGGTAGAGACCATGGGCAGGGCCAGGGCTGGCAACGTCTTAGCTGGGGCAAGTAGGAGGAAGCAAAAACTCAGCATCCCCGAGGTCAGGGCAAATGGTATTCCTCTCTTAAATCTGCAAACATAAGCAGTTTCACAAACCTGCCTGAGTACTAGAGTGTTTTTAAAGACACAGATTCACAGGGCCACTGAATCCGACCCAGAAATCTGTATTTTGATTTTTAATTTTAATTTTTTTAGAGGCAGAGTCTTGCTCTGTCACCCAGGCTGAAGTAGCAATGGCATGATCACAGCTCACTGCAGTCTTGAATTCTGGGCTCAAGTGATCCTCTTGTCTCAGCCTCCTGAATAGCTGGGACTCAGGAGTGTGCACAAGCCTGATTAATTGAAAAAAAAAATTGTAAAAATGGGGTCTTGCTCTGTTGCCTGGGCTGGTCTCAAATTCCCGGCCTCAAGCGACCCTCCTGCCTTGGACTCATAAAGTTCTGGGACTATAGGTATAAGTCACCATACCCGGCCAGTCTGTATTTTTAAAAACCTCCCTCAGATGGTCCCAAAGATCTATTTACCATACACACTGAATATTAGAGAGTATTCTTTCACCATGTTATTTCATTTTAATCTCACCATCACCTCCTGGGGTCAGCAGGAGACAGACTATTCCATTTGCCTGAAGAGATGAGACCAAGAGAATGGAAGTGACTTCCCAGACTCAAATAGCTGTGCTTCAGACCTAAGTCCTCTGGCTCTGAAAGTAGGATCGTTGCTCACATGGAAAGACCTATGTGCTTTGGGGTCAGACAGTCAGGATCCAATGCGAGCACAGTGCCTGGCACATTTAGCCATCTAGTAATTTATTTCCCACTTCTCTTGGCTAAGGTCACTCAACTAGGGAGTAGCACAACTGGATTTAAAAACCTGTCCTTGAAGTCCTCGAGCCACTTGGGTTCTTTACTTAGCAACAGCAGAGACTCAGCCGAGGTTGCACACGCAGAGTGGCACGAACTTTACCACGTGCCCCCTTCACTCCTGCCTGCCTGCTTAAAATGTTACTAGGTCACAGCCAAGGCCCAGGATTCTAAGCATCGTTTCTGTCTCAGACTAGCTCTGCGATTCCACCTGGCTGCAATTTCCAGTTGAGCCTCAGTCTCCAGCTCCATAGAATGGAGATAATGGGGCTCTGACTGGAAACAGTCTATAGGTGCTTTCTAAGGAGCTACTACGGCAACAGTGGAAGCCCATGGGGGAGCATATGTTGGCTGAGCACATAGTATTATTAGTTTCTCAGCAGCTTCTCCATGAGGCTTATCAGACTCCAAGCCCAGGTGGATGCTGCTCTGTCTAGACCCAAGTAGAGCTGCTCCCTCTTAGGCCCCTTAGCACCCAGACAGATGTGAGAAGCTCAATTCTAGTGATGCTTTTCAGCATCCAGAGCCTCACATCCCTGCTGGAATTGTCCAGGAACCAGGGGCTGAGAGCTGGTTACCCAGCCCAAGAACTCTTTGCCTTGTTCCACCAGGAGCCGGACAATGGTGCCCCCAAGTCCCTTAGGAACTGTGTGGAATCTGGGAATTTGATGGAAACTAACAACCTGGGCTCCACAGGCATCCAGGAAGCTGACCCACTCCTGTTCCTTGTGCGCTGTTTGCTTGAGACACAGAGGCAAAGAGCCTGTCAGATCCTCTCCGAAGGGGCAGAGCCTCTCAGAAGG